ATGAAAAGCCATTAATTCTGACGAGTTTTCAGTTACAATAATTATTTCCTTTTCTTCTCTTTTTTTCCTTGGCACTACAGCCCCAGTGGGCCTAGGCCTACCTCCATGAACTTCTCCGTTCACTTCGGTTTTTCTAGATCTTACACGTATGGTAGGACTCCTTGGGCGGGTGATCAGCTCGTCGCAAGGCCTCTATCTCTACACAAACACAGAGAAACGCACACACACAAACTAAACATCCATGCCCTGAGTGGGATTCGAACCCACGATCCCGGTTTCCAAGCTAGCGAAGACAGTACATGCCTTAGACCGCTCGGCTACCGTGACCGGCTACAATAATTATTATCCTTCCATTTATAATGCATCCAGTAAATTCAATTTTCTATCAGAAGTAAGTAACACGGACCAGACAGCATAAGAGCAGATTCGTATATTCATGTATATAGTATTTCTTTACACACGTGAAAATAAGCACAGATACAATCCTCTCAAATATATTAGTAAACTTTTCCACATATTCAATATGCATAATCTGAAGAATCTGCAATAAATGTATATGTTCAGTAAGTACTGGCTCGTGAAAGAGTTATGCCTAGTGATGTTAACTCATATATTTCTTCTGATCATTTAGGTATCATTTTAATTCTTTTTACTCAGGTCTGTCTGGTAGAGTTAGGACTGTGTATATTTTCAGTCTTGTAGTTTCGCTATTGTCTAGTAGGTTCACTGCTAGTGCCTCAGTGTGGAGAAACGCAAGCGGTATCATGAGACGGACTCATATAACTCCACACCGGAAACGGAAAGAGGGAGTGAGAGTATTTAGACGTAAACCAAAAAGCAGCTATGTAAGAATGTCGAAGAAATAAGTAAAATAATATTATTAATCTAAGTAAATTGTGACATTGTGGATAAATTCCACAAGTTTCGGATAAAATCTAATTCAGCACGGCATGTGTTACAGCTGAAGGCGTATGTCAGTGCCGCGTGCAGGAGTAGCAGCAGAGACGGACGGCAAATAACGGACGTTAAGTTAAACAATTGCAACGGGATGCTGAGATACAGAACTATAGAAACAATACTGCAGAATGATAAACAACTTCAATACGCTCACCTTTTACGGCACGTAGAATGTCTAAGAGGTATTTAATGTCCCACCAAGTGTTCTCCAACATTTGCAGTGTAAGTATTTCGATCGCAGCAAAAATTCTGAGCTTAAGTTCATTGAGGGGGGTCATAAGGTCTTGTAAACAAAGTCCTTAACTTATCCTCGCAGGAAGATACCAAGCAGCATAATATCTGGTGAGCAAGAATGCCACGGAATTGGCCCATCATGCCCAACCCAGCGCCCAGGGAAATGCATGTCAACAAATTCTCCAACAATAAGAGCATGTAGCATGTCCAGACAAGTCATCGCTGTCACTCCGACAATAATTTAGAATCACATTACATTATAAAATACAAAAGGGACATAAAGTAACACTATTAAACACTTAAACTGTTAAGTATAATACAAACAAGTAAGTTAATTACTATTTTATCGTGGATCACTGGCAGTTACAATTCGAGCTCCCTAAAAATCATTAAAATATTGCGTAATTAAAAAATTGGAGTATCTTGAGTTTTAAATCCGAAATTTTGAATGGGAGGTAACGTAATAGGATCGCAACACGAAGTACGACTGTACTCAGACGGCAAAGCAGAAGCGAGGGTTACGTACTGCTAGAGTGTACACAAGCAAGGGCATGTTGCAGATAGCAGACATAACACAACAACGGCCTCACAAAGAGAAAAACAAACTGTCTGGAATATCACATAGCTCCAAGTGAACGACGCCCCTTATGAGGTGGAATAGGATTTTACGGGGGAAAAAAAATAATAGAAATTTTAATGAATTTTAATTAATTATTTACGTTATTTTTAAGTGGACTGCAATGCTCGGTTTTAGCGCGCATAAGAGCAGTGTAATAGTTTGGACGCATTGAGACACATGAAGATGGTCGTCTCTGGCCGAAACATGTTGTGTTAAGTCTTAAATGGTGAATAGACAATTGTTGCATTATTGACGGGCTGTGGATACATTCAGGGGGTCCAAAAAATGTACTTACTCTTTGATAGTCAATATCTTTGGAACAGAATGACATGTAGTTACAATTCTTGCGCGGAGAGAGAGGGTCATTGTATGTGTTCGAAGTGACCACCATCAGCGGCTAAACAGCGTCGATGCCGCCGAAGTGCTGAGCGAACCATGGCTGTCAGTGTGTCCTGTGTGATGGCTGAACACGACGCTTTGATGGTTTCTCGTATCTCGTTCAGTGTAGCTGGCTTTTGTGGATGTTTGATTAAAGATTTGCAACAGGGTGCTGAAATACAGAATTAAGAATATTGCCCTTTCTATGGTTGCAAACAAACGCGTGTATCGCAGCTGATATGCAGAGTGCATTCAGTTTTCTGTGAGAAGAAATTGAAAGGCAGTTGAAGCGCAAGATATATGACTTGGGACTGTGTTTTCTCAGATGCTTCAAGGAGTATTACACAAAAGCGAGATTCAGTTACACGAAGCGGGGGTTGAAGCGTATATATACGATGAGCAGATAACAAAAAATGTATGTACATTGAATTTTACTATATTTAAAAATAAATATTTAGGTTAGTGCCTGCACTTCTACAAGCATGAAACTGAAGTTTTTGAATGGTCTAGAGAAAACGGTTAACTTTGTGACTTTCTCAAACTGTACAAGTTATGTTAGCTTTGACATGTTCATTATGATTGGCTGAGAGTGAGAATTTTGACCAGTTCTTTGGTAGTTAGTTACACCCGAGTCCAATCTTATAAATCAGCACTTGGTTATGAATGCTACTATTGTATCTTGATGTATACTTCATATGTGTTGTGGTGTAACCTTTTGCCTCAGGTCAGGTGCAGGTTACACAGGCTGAATCGGGTATCTAGAAGAACAGATTACAAGTAGAATTAATGAAGGCCATAAAGAAGTATGGCAGTAAGACCTGCATCTATTAATAACACAGAGGGGCCATCTGTGAATGGTTTCTAATTAAAGGAGACACTGACTTCTAGAATCACTGAGCACTTTCTTCTTAAAGTATTCAGCACATGTTGGAGATAGTCATGTTCAGTTCTTTTCCAACCGTAAGAGGGATATTCTGTCTCAGAACACAAGAAACAAAATCGTATAAAACGAATACCGAAGCAGACTTTTTAATCTTAAATTCTTCAGTAGTTATATGTACTTTCAAGTTTTATATTACATGGTGCAACTCTCAAAATGGGTCATAGCACTAGATTGTGTTATCATGAGAAGTTGTGCAATATTCAAGGAAGGATGTCTGTTTCCTTTATATCACTGTGTTTGATTTGAACTGTATCCAAATTCAGATAAACTTGCTCTGTGAACTGAAATCTCTAAAGTGTAAGATACAGAGGAATTGCTGCATATTTACTGACTATGGCAGATAACCATTACAAAAACTATAACTTATTTTCTCATTTTATTAGATGTATGAAATCTTAATCTTTGTTCTCTTGTTTTAATCTTTTAATTTCTTATCTTTACTTCTGTAATTTTAAATACAATTTTTATGTAAGGCTTTTAGCTTTAAATTTTGTCCAAGATTTGTTATACACTTACATTTGAATTAATTTCAAGACAATAAGAATCATTATTTGATGAATAAAATGACAATTGATTGCAACTCAACAGCTCAGACTGGTGCATTGTATGCCTGATGATGACCCGTGAAAGGCACAAAACATGTTGCGTCTCTAATAAACATAATAAAAGCAAATGTTGATGCAGTAGTGTCTTCTTTGTTTTGAATATGGATTGTTGATGAAATAGATATATAACATTTCTTTCCTTAGGCAATAACTTTTGGGTTAGTGTTGCTTTATCCAAGATTCCCACATGAGTATCCTTGTCAATGTGACTATGTCTACATGTAAGCCATAATTCTAACTACAAAAGGAAAATATGAATGGCATTCATTAGGAGATTAAGTGATCTTTATGAATTATGGATGGAAATGGAATGGAACAGTGTTAAAGATTTTACTGAATAACACCTCCAGTGGGAGTTTGTCATGCAGTTACTGAAGAAGTGTGTTGTATAAAGCCAAGCAACTACATGCAGCAGAATCCTTCTTGAGGGGCTGATGGTCACACAGCTACTGAAGAAATTCTTTTCTTGTTATGGAATCTGTGTTCACAAGAGCCCGCATGGTTCTGGATATCTGAACATTTTAAATTCAAATTATTACCTTTATATGAGTAATTCCTAAACTACAGGTGATAGTACTACAATAGGGACTTCAAAGGGAGCCAGGTATTCCTCAGATTTTAAGTCTTTATGCAGCTCGCAGAACTGTGTTGAGAACGCTCAAGCCATGGGCCCCTGTATTACACAGTGCTACTATTTGCGGAAAGATGCCTGTCCACATTTTAGACAGTTGGAAGCTAGATTGTCAGTAAAGGTCCCAAGTTTCATTGTGGTTCACTGTGGTGCTGGGGCAGAGAGATAGATCCCTAGGAACACATAAACATAAGGGGAGAATGATATTATGCACAAGAGACATATTTCAGAAATATGCAACTTTGCTGAAATGGTTTTTGCTTTTTGTTGCTAAAATATTTTAACTTCATTACTTTCTGGTTATGTAACAGTGAACTTCAGAATTTCTTCACTATAGCTGTGCCAGTAATACTGCCATTGGTAATGTGAATGTACTGTGTTATGTTACAGGCATGCAGAACTCCAGACAGGGACATGTCAGTACAAACATAATGAGATCTTGATCACAAGAAGTAGAAAGAAATCCATGATATGTATGTAATGGCCGTCTTGTAGTGCACTCAATTTCACATGTCACTTCACTACATGTTTCGGCAACATTGTGCCATCCTCAGGTGCTTTATTTATGCTAAGCTATTGCATTGCTTGCCATCTTGTGTCTTTCATAAAATTATTAAAATGTACATTCTTCATCAACTATAATAAAATTGGTATACACTAAAACTTGTTGAGATTATTCATTTTATGCATCTTAATTCAAACTCGGGTATTGTATGATTCTTCCACCATGGGAGTCGTTTTTCCTATATTTTTTGTGTACTGTGTCTTGTGATGTGTCCTTCCTTTTTGGCTGCGAGCTTTGTAATGTGCCTGAGGAAGGCACAATGTTGCTGAAACATGTAGTGAAGTGACATGCGAAATTGAGTGCACTACAAGATGGCCATTACATTCATATCATGGATGAGAATCAGTGCAATAGGACGCTAAAATACAACAGTAGAAAGAAATGCTGATGGAGAAAGATAGAGAAATCATAACACTGAAGTCTGAAAAAGAAAGTGAAGTAAAAGCAGTGAAGAATCAATATGAGGTAAAAAACATTTCAATGTATAAAGAATATTTCATGTGAACTTCATAGGAACTTCAACTTGTGAGCTTGTTTACATGATACACATGTGACTTGCCTTCAGATTTAAATTTACTTTCTGTAGCATGATGATTTATATCAGTGGCACAGTTCAATGACTTTGGGAAAACATAACTCAATTCTCATTTCTAATGAGATTGATAGCCAGTATCCATCATTTAAATGACCTGTGCTTCTTATGTAAAGTGTAGACCTCCAGAATTTAACATCATTATTTTCTAGTTCACTGTTATTGAACAGGAGGACAACTGGATTGAAATATCAGCATGTCAGTAATATCACTTTGCTAATATGGCTGTTTGATTTTTTCACAATTGATTACAAGACCTAGGAGCACTGTCACCACAGCTTTTCAGACAAATATAAATATGGCTGAACAGGTAAGTTTTGATTTATATAAAAAAATTTTAATTGTAACCAAATATCAAATATTCTGTATGTAAAGTACTAAATATATTATTATTGCCTTACATTAGAATTTACCTTGTCATACGTCAAATTATCAGGGGCATGATGTAGCATAGTTGGTTGAGGCACTATGCTACAAGCCAGTAGGTCACGGGTTCAAGTCCTGATAAGGTCATTGGATTCTTTTTCAATTGACTTAATACTTCCAGCCGCACTATGGCCCTGGGATCAGTTCAGCCTCTAACAGAAATGAGTGTCAGGAATATTTTTGGAATATTCTTGGGGGTAAAGGGCTGACGGCGCGTAAGGCTGACAACCTTGCCATCATCTTTGAGTCGATTGTCTAGAAAATGTGGGACCCTCAACATCTCATGACCCTATAGGCCTCCACAGCCAGTGACAGGAATATCATTACTTTTAATTTTTAAGTCAAATTATATTGTATGTTTGTACACACACACACACACACATACACACACACACACACACACAAAAATCTGCGTTCCTAGACAGGACATTTCCCAGAGATGGATCAGCAGAGATGGTCCAATGCCTTGGCCTCCAAGTTCACCAGACATAACACCACTGGATTCTTCCCTGTGGGGTTATATCAAGAGCAGTGTGTTCCGAACACCAGTTAATGGACTTGATGACCTGAAGACCCATATCAGGAATGCGATCTCAGCTATTCCAGCGGACATGTTCCACAGAACATGGTAAGAGCTCGAATATCGCCTGGACGTTCTCCATGACACCAAGGGAATCCACATTGAGGTCTACTGAGGTTAGTAAATAACTTCCAGAGTTTCAATATAATCTGCTGTAAACCGCATATGGCGAGCTTAACTTGTTTGAGCGCAAATTTTTCAAAACCCCGACTGGACTTTGTGGACACACTATATATTTTAAAACAATAACTTTTACATTACTGTGTTTCAGTCAGTCTCCACCAATTCAGTAAACATCTGCCAATATTATCTGGAACATTTATTCCAGCTTAAAATGTCATCTTGCAGGGTACAACTTGGAATGTATCTGTTGAAGTTTTGTGCATTATATTAAATTCTATTAAGCTGTTTACAGCAAAGAATGACAGTGGTCATTATGGGACAAAAACAGGTCATGATTCTGAGTTAAAACAGGCTTATCTTTGAGTGGTCTTTTCATTCTGAAATACAAAAAGGCACGTCCTTGACAGGTCTCATTCTGAAAAAAAATAGGTATATCCCTGACATGTCTTCTCATAGTTTTGTTCCCGACCTCATGAGGGCACCCATCTTCCGACAAGTAGAATATTTCAGCTGAAATTTCACTTTCGGTATACTCATACATATGTGAATGATGGTCGTTTTATGTGTATGCATGCATGTTTGTGGGAGCCAAGATAGTACAGTCGGTATAGTGACTGGCTACAGACTGGATGACTGTGGGGTCAGAGTTCAAGTACTGGTAGAAGCAATATTTTTCTCCTCTTTTCATCATCCATACCAGTGCTGTGGCCAGCCTAGCCTCCCATTCAGTGGGCACTGGGGCTCTTTCCCCAGGGCTAGAGCATCCAGGCCTTGAAGCTGACCATTCACCTCCAACTAGTGCGAAGGTTAAGGATGCAAGGATGTAATTCTCCACTCCCCCATTTGTCTTCATGTCATAATGCCTAATTAGTTGAACACAGGGTCGATTTTACTTTTACCTTTTTCTTTTGCATGCACATACATGCTTATTATAAGCTGGTGTCATGGTACGGGAAGAATTATTGAAATAATAATTTAAAATAAGTGGACAAGAAGCAAAGCAGTTGTCACTTCTCTAACCCAGTATCTGGCCTATTTTCAATGTTCTACAGTGATTTTCAAAAGGCATATCAGCTTCTGGCACAAACCCTAAATAGTGCCTTTGATATGTTGTAGAAATAAACAGCTTGAACAAACGTGGTGATACCTTAATTTTGTTCTCATGAATGTGTGCAAAGAGAAGGGTGTGAGAACAAGGGCAGGAAACCTGCTTTAAACGCGACACATAAGAGACTGGAGGAGGCTGAAAGAGACCGGGGGAACCTGGGCAGATGGAGGTATCCAACATCACTGAAGAGAAACTGATGACTGAAGTATGTATGTTTCATTCACTGAATGCTTCCAGAAGCATGAGGATGATGATTATAAGAGATGTGTTGACATATCCTTGAGAAACCCTGGTATTGTCACACTACAACAAGCCCGGTGAGTTGTGTTCATGGAATCATAAGTCTCAAAAACAGATACTTTGATCACTTTCGGTTTTAATTATAATTCTCACTTGCATAATAACGAAAAATATGGTTATTATTCGCATATTGACTGCTGTTTGAAAGTACTGGGGTGGTGTAAGATTCCTCCTGTTTGTTCCTGTTTATGTGTGAATGTCTGAATAGTGCTAAACGAAGATGTTTTGTTGTTACAGATGTACCATATGTTATCATCCATGATCACAGATGTAAAGTACAGATGTAAAGTAAAAGTAAATTAAAACTATCCCTGTACCAGGCCATGAAGCCCCATAGGATTGTGAGATGTTGAGGGTCCCACATTATCTAGACAGTTGGCTCAAAGATGTCGGTAAGGCTGTCAGCCTTGCGCGCCGGCCGCGCTTTGCTCCCCAGGAAAATTATGTAATTAATTCCTGGTACTCATTTCTATTAGAGGCTGAGTGAACCCCAGGGCCATAGTGTGGCTGGAAGGATTAGGTCATTTGTAGAAATCCAATGACCTCATCAGGAATGATCACAGATGAAATTAAAACTTTTTTTTTAATATAATAAGAATTACAAGCAAGAAATATGTCCTGAGTGGAGTTGGATTGTTTGGGCATGTACACAGGAGCCAAGCACAGTGATCCATGAGCTGAATTACACTATGTTGCATTATGAATTTGAATTACCTGAGTGTGATATTAAGAGCACAATATCTGTAGAGCCGTACGTTCTCTGCCTGAAACCTCTCTTGCCACATATTAGATGTGCTTTATTGGTTCTTGTTTGTCACACTACTGTACTAAAACCACAGACCAGTCTGTTATGTTGGTAATGTGGCAGGTCTGTTAAGTGCAGTTGCCTGAGAATATTGTGTGACTTTTAGCTACAGAGTTTGTAAGTATTTAAAGCAGACAGGACCTGAGGATATTACAAGGCTTGTGTGTTTCCAGGTTGTTAACACATGTTTTTATCTATTATAATGATTATAAGCTGTACATATATATTTATAATTGTATTGTACTATATTAACTATTTGACTGGTTCTATATCTGTGTATATGGATTTATGGAATATACAATAAATGAATGAATGAATTGAAGCAGTTCCCACCAATGAGGAACCAGGGACCTACAGAGACAGCCCAGCTAATAGTAGTGGCTACCTCAACATGGCTGCATATAATCCAGGATCTCCACCTGATGAATACGTTGATAATCAGCATGGCAAAATACTTTTTACTGATTATATATATTCAGTATATCCACATTTTGCTAACCACCATTGTCTTCAAGTTTTTGTTGCTGTGAGTCTTCTCAGAATAATACTGCATTCTGAAGTACTAAGATTTCATGAGTTGTGTTCCATATTTACATGGCAGATCATCCAAAAATACTTCATTGTTTGTAGACACTGATAGAGCCTCAAAAGTTAACTTATTCTCTTCCTCCTGGTCCTTCACTTCTTCCTCCTCCTCCTCTTACTTTTCTCTTTATCTCCCCCTTCCTTTTCCCTTCTCTTAGTCATGAACTTTCTTTTCTCTTTGTTCAATCATCTTTCAGTCTGTACACAGCCCACACAGAGAAGACAGGTGTACATGAAATGACACTAAATATCTCTAAGCAGTGGAAATTAGCAGTGTTTCTCAACCACCGGTCTGCAGCCCAGTACTGGGCCCTGGGATCAATCATACAAGGCTCTCTTCTTGTAGAAAGAAGAATTTACCAGGTCACAGTCTCACAGAGGTTGAGAACCACTGTCTTAGAGTACACTGTTGATAATAATAGGGAGCTGGGATAGCGCAATCAGAGTAGTGGCTGGCTACAAGCTGGATGACTTAGGGTTTGGAGTTCACGTCCCAGTATGGTCAAGAATTTTCTTTTCTCCATGTCATCCAGAACAGCCCTGGAGCCCAGCCATCTTCCTATCTGGTGGGTAGTGGGGTCCCTTTCTCCGGGAGTAAAGCAGCAGGGTCAGGACACTGACCACTCACTTGCAGCTAGTCCTGAGGTCAAGAAAACATGTATCTATATATCCACTCCCCCATATATCTTCTTGGAGTAGTGCTTAATTAGTTGAGCTCAGGAACAAATTTACCTTTACTGTTAATAACAGATAAACAAATAAATAAATAAATTGGAAGTAAGTAAATAATAATAAGAAAGGAGGTAGAAAATTGCATAATTCTAGAGAATCCATGAGAAATATACCCAAAAATATACACCAATGATATGCCAAAGTTCTCAATAAGATGCTCATATTAATTAAATTGAAATGTGCTGCTGATGACAGATTAATAAATGATATTCAAACAAACAAACCAATTTTCATCTTCTCACCTATAGATCATCATCACCACCATATCCTCCTCCCCCTTTATGATCATCATCAAGGTAGGTTACCTGATTCCTGTGCTCGGCTTTTAATTTATTGTACGTGAATGCAAGAACGACAGGATCTTACATTCTTGTATGTGTTCCTGCAAATCCTGCATGTGATACCTTGACTCAGAAATTGATTCAGCACTGCACAGCACAGGAATTACTGTGCCTGCACTCATCCACCAGAGACTAGTAATGAGAAGGATTACAGTATCATTTATTAGGTGTTGTATGAACACTTTCTGCTGAAGTGTAACATATTCAGAACAGTGTTTCCCAAAGGCTTTCACTCTGAAACCACTTTGTCCTCAAACACATTGTGATACCCACATATCATTATTAAAAAACTACAGTAACCTATTCCACAGCAATTGCTGATAGTCATGTGAACTGGAATCGGGTAGTGGCAGTTCCTCCACACCATTTGTAATGGTTATATTGCCATGACTCAGTAACCAGAACCTCATTTGTGAATATACTCTAGCAGGGGAAAAAATTGGTTGCTTTTTGCCACTGTTGGCTGAAAGTAGTTTGCTGGCAACTAAAATCCTACTCAGTGTTGAGGATTTGTACTTTGGAGCTCTGGCAATCTCACTCAGTAATTCAGCACAGAGGAAACAGCAAACTGCATCCACCATAGTTACTCGCTCATCGCCTATCTTGAGAAGCTGCCAACTGTGCAGCCACTCAAGGATTTCCCAGCATTTCATGGAACCTGAAGGTTCATTACCATGTTCACAAGAGCTCTTCCCTGGTCCGTATACTGAGCCAGATCAATCCAATCAATACAATCACATCATATCTCTCTAAGAACCATTTTAATATTGTCCAACCACCTCCCTCTTGTTCTTCCCTGTGGTCTCCTTTCTTCCAGTTTCCCCACCAATATCCTATATGCATTCCTCATCTTCCCCATTCAGACTACATGCCCTGCCTATCTCATTCTCCTTGATTTTATCATTCTATTTATACTTGGAAAAGAGTACAAGTTATGAAGCTCCTCATTATGCAGTTTCCTCCAACCTCCTGTGACTTCATCTCTTCTCAGTCCAAATATTCTTTTCATCAACCTGTTCTAAAAACACCCTCAGTCTTTGTTCCTCCCTTAAAATCAGAGATCAGGTTTCACACCCATATAGAACCACAGGCAAAATTATAGTTTTATATA